GATGATCATAGACAAGCTGCACCCCATAAACCCCATCTCCTTCAAAAAGGCACCTTTGAAAATTACAAACTATGCTATTGTATACTCAAACTTCAGTGTACAATTATGGCAGCTTCAAAGTATTATGGAATTTTTCAGAAATTCCTAGCCCAGGTGATGCTTAAGTTAGCATCTGTTTACATTTGCTGAGCTGACACAGGCAATTAGTGTGAATAATTGCTTGAGGCATAATTTGTAATGTGCATTCTTGAACGGTGAATGACTATACTGATAAAATACAATACCATGCAATGAGTGGCAATACAGAATCAGTGGAAGCATGATTTAATGCAACTGCCCTTGGCAAAGCCTCATGTTTAAACAACTTCACTCCACCCACAAAGAAAAAGAAACACTAACTTGCTCTTCATGCTGTGTCAGATACTTGGTCTCATTTTTGTGCGTTGACTTTAGATTGAAACATGGCAAGTTTTCACCTTTGTGACCTTGTGAGTGACTTAGCAGCTTGGATTGAAATGCAGGATAGTTTCCTCCTACACCCCAACTTTCACTTTGCCTCTTTGCATTGCTGCGCCCTTGTCCTTAATGACCTTACAGCCTGTCCAATCATCCGCCTCACTGCAGCCCCACACCCCCACATTTCGTTCAGTTCCTTTTTATACACGATTGGTATTGACCTTAATTTACACCCTTCCCAATTATTTTCCATAAATGTGTTGGATAAATTTAGCCATATTGGAGAGTGATTATCCTTGACATCAAGGCCACACTCGACCAGCATTGGCAGCAAGGATCCGTAGCAAAATTAGAATCAACGAGAACTGGGGTAAAACTTTGCTGGTCGGTTCATACCTGGCACAAAGGAAGGTGGTTATGGTGGTTGGAGATCAGTCATCTCAGTTCCAGGACATTTTTGCAGGAGTTCCTCAGAATGGTGTTCTTGATCCAACTATCTTCAGTTGCTTCATCAATAGCCTTCTACCCATCATAGAGTCAGAAGTGGAGATGTTTGCTAATGATTACATGGTGTTCAGCACCGTTCAAGACTCCTCAGATACTGAAGTAACCCATGTCTAAATCTTGCTGCATTTTGGACATTAGCTAGGCTTGGGCTGATAAGTGGCAAGTGAAATTTGGGCCAAGTGATGACGTTCTGCCACATGAGAGAATCTAACCATCTCCCCTTGATGTTCAGTTGCATTAACATCACCGCAATCAACATCCTGGATGTTACCATTGACCAGAAAATGAACTAGACTAACCGTATAAGTACAGTAACTGCAAAAGCATATCAGTGGTTTCGGAATTCTGTGGTGAATAATTCTCCTCTTGATTCCCCAAAGCCTGCTCACTATCTATAAGACACAAGTCAGGCCTGTGATGGAATACTCTTCACTTGCCTGGATGTTGGAAGTTCCAGTAACACTCAAGGAAGTTGACACCAACCAATGAAAAGCAACCCTCTTGATTGGCACCACACCCTGAATCATCCATTCCCTTCACCACCGATGCACAGCAGCAAAAGTGTGCTCCATCTACAAGATGCTCAGCAACACTGCACTGAACACCTAAGACACAATCTTCTAAACCCACAAACATTCAAGAAGGACAAGGCTGACAGAAACATGGGAACACCAGTACCTTCAAATCTCTAATCATCCTGTCTCAGAAAAATACTGTTTTTCCTTCACTGTTGCTGTGTCAAAATCCTGGAATGACTTTTATAACAGCATTGTAGAAGTGGACTGCAACAGTTCAAGAAGGTGGCTCAACAATGCCTTCTCAAGGGCAGCTAGTAATGAGCTGGTAGTTTTCCAATGCCAACTTGCATGGAGTTAGAGGATGACTGTATTCATGGAGCATGCAGGCACATTGTGTTGAACACAAAGTTGAATGAATGACCAGAGAAACCAGTGAGTGTTGCTGTGACTTCCATGTCAGAAATTGGCACTGTCTAGTTACTTGGTGGATAGGAGATTTAGAAGCTGTGTAGAAATGAAGTGAATTGGTCTATTAGTCCAATCTAAAAACATGGAATAAATGTTTAGCTTTATCAGCTTTATTCTTCTCCGTCCCCACCTTAACAAATTTCAGGCACAACGTGACGCCGAACTCTTCTTCCATCGTCTTCGCCTCCATGCTCGTTTCTTTGGACAAGAGTCCACTCCCTGTCCCACGGACCCCTTTGCCCAACTCCAACACTCTCCCTTCACCTGGACCCCTCCCTCTGGCCTTTTACCTGCACTCGATCTTTTCATTGAGAACTGTCAACGTGACATTAGTTGCCTCAATTTCTCTGCCCCCCTCACCAAATCCAACCTATGTCCCTCTGAACTGACTGCACTCCATGCACTCAGATCTAACCCGGACTTTGTCATCAAGCCTGCCGATAAGGGTGGTGCTGTTGTAGTCTGGCGTACTGACGTCTATCTTGCAGAGGCTGAGCGCCAGCTCTCAGATATCTCCTCCTACCTTCCCCTGGACCATGACCCCACCATGGCACATCAGGCCAATGTATTCACTATGGTTACGGATCTCATTTCATCCGGTGAGCTCCTCCCATCCGCTTCCAAGCTAATAGTCCCCCAACCCCGCACAGCTCATTTCTACCTCCTGCCAAAAATCCACAAACAGGACTGTCCAGGTAGACCCATTGTTTGAGCCTGCTCATGCCCACAGAACTCATCTCTTCCTACCCTGACTCAGTCTTCTCCCCCCGGTCCAATCCCTACTCACATACATCCATGATTCATCTGACGCCTTATGCTGGTTTCAAAATTTCCAGTTTACCGGTTCCAGCCACCCCCTCTTTACCATGGATGTGCAATCCCTTTACACATCCATTCCCCACCAGGAGGGTCTTAGGGCTCTCCGCTTCTTCCTGGAGCAAAGACCTGAACCATCCCCACCCACCACCACCCTCCTCCGCTTGGCTGAGCTTGTCCTCACCCTCAACAACTTCTCTTTCAAACTCCTCTCATTTTCTTTAGGTAAGAGGGGTTGCCATGGGTACCCGCATGGACCCTAGTTATGCCTGTCTCTTCGTGGGGTATGTGGAACATTCCTTGTTCCAGTCCTATTCTGGCCCCCATGCACAACTCTTTCTCCGATACATCAATGATATCATCAGTGCTGCTTCCCTCTCTCGTCTGGAATTGGAAAACTTAATTAATTTTGCCTCCAATTTCCACCCTGCCCCCACTTTCACCTGGTCTATCTCTGACTCCTCCTTTCCCTTCCTCGACATTTCTGTTTCCATTTCTGGGGATAGACTGGCCACTAATAACCATTACAAACCCACCGACTCCCACAGTTACCTGGACTATACATCCTTACACCTCACTTCCTGTGAAGACTCCATCCCATTCTCTCAGTTCCTCCGTCTCCATCGCATATGTTCAGATGAGGCCAACTTCAACAAGGGATCTTCCGAAATGTCCACCTTCTTCCTCAATTGAGGTTTCCCCGGCTCCGTTGTCGACAGGGCCCTCAACCAGGTCTGCCCTATCTCCCGCACTTCTGCCCTCACCCCTTCTCTTCCCTCCCACAACAGCGATAGGGTTCCCCTTATCCTTACCTACCATCCCACCAGCATCCACATCCAGAAGATCATCAGACGCCATTTCCGCGACCTCCAGCAAGATGCCACCACCCGACACACATTCCCCTCCCCTCCCTTGTCCGCCTTCCGCAGGGACCGTTCCCTCTGGGACACCCTGGTCCACACTTCCTTCACCCCCAGCACCTCCCCACAGCCCTACGGCACCTTCCCCTGTAACCGGTGAAGGTGCAACACCTGCCCATTAACCTCCTCCCTCCCCAGAATCCAAGAGCCCAAACATACCTTCCAGGTGAAGCAACACTTCACCTGCACTTCCAAGAATCTAGTCTACTGCATTCGCTGCTCACAATGTGGTCTCCTTTACATTGGGGAAACGAAGCATAGACTTGATGACCGCTTTGCAGAAATCTACATTCTACTCGCAAAAAAGACCCTGAACTACCTGTTGCCTTTCACTTCAATGCACCACCTTACTCCCTGGCCAACATCTCTGTCTCTATTGTGCTACATTGTTCCAGTGAAGCCCAACGCTCGCTGGAGGAACAACACCTCATTTTCCGCTTGTGGACCCTACAGCCCTCCGGACTCAATATTGAGTTCAATAATTTTAGGGCCTATACTCTCCCATGTCCCCGCTCCCGACCCCACACACCAGGCCTTGTTACCACATAGCCTGTCATTACACACCCCCTGTTGTTAGCCACTAACAGTCCCCATTAACAACTATTCACCCTCCCAGCCTGATCGTTAGCAACTCCTTTGCCTGTCCAACTGTCTTTCTCTCTCTTTGGGCTCTATCCTATCGTTTACTCCCTACCCCACCCACCTCCCTATTTTCTGCATATAAACTGACGTTTTCCCAGCCACCATCAGTTCTGAGGAAGGGACACCAGACCTGAAACATTAACTCTGTTCTCTCCTTCACAGATGCTGCCAGACCTGCTGAGCTTTTCCAGCAAATTTGTTTTTGTTCCTGATTTACAGCATCCGCAGTTCTTTTGGTTTTTATGGAATATGTGTTGGTCAATGTTCCCATTAGTGAGATTCTGAACTAGCTGTTTAAAGCCTTTTAGGGTCGAACGTTAGAATACTTTTTCTTTATGTTGAGATTTATTCTCCCACATTTCTCACTGTTGCCCACTTTGCTCAAGGGAGCAGGAAATTCTGCACATAACCTTTTTAACAGCCCAACAATGTATTTCTTTTCAGGATTACTTATATCAAGCTTTCATTAGCATTTTCATTGTAAAGCATAAACCAAATCTATATAAAACCTTCTCTCACGACTTGTTTATATATTTGAAAAAGGTTTCGGTGCTCAATTTCAGTCAATTTTGCTTTGACAAAACTATCTCTGTTCTTACCATTAGTTTATGAAGTTAACTTGTATCACATTGTTGTTTTTGGTCTTCTAACTAGTATTGTTCTGGTTATGTAGGTTGGTAGCAGGCGAGTGGTCCAGTATGGAGCAGTTATTATGTTGGTCTTGGGAACAGTAGGAAAGTTTACAGCGCTGTTTGCTTCGCTCCCAGATCCTATTCTCGGAGGCATGTTTTGCACTTTGTTTGGTAAGTTGAAATATACAACTTGTAGCTTCATTGAATTATAGTCAATTTTATATACATTATAATTTTAGGATTACATTTTTTTAATTGACGTATTCACTCCAAGGAGCTCTGCAAAGCCAGAGAGGCTCTGTGCATTTTATAACTAACTTTCTTTATGGTACTTTAATATCAGGTCATATTACATGGAGAAATATCATACACTTTACTGCAAATACAGCCAGTGAAATTGCAAATAAGAGATGAATAGTCACTTTGATGTGGTCTGTTCTTTTTTAATTGATGCCATGATCTGATGTAGATGTGTAATGGGGATGCGTAATGAAATGGTTACTAAGTCAAACAATCACATATGTATATTTTAATTCCAATGTAATTACATCTATCAAATAGCTGTATAGATTTTTGGGATAGAAAGAGAGAGTGGAATTGTTTGTTTGCTGTTGCTTCAGTGGACGAAACATTTTGCCAAGGTTTCTCTGATCCATTTGTTAGAATTATGACAGGCACTTAGAATCACCAGGATCATGCCCATTATCTGTTAAAGTAAACCTTTGGATTCATGGTAAATGAGGTTAAAGAATGACATTTTTCAGCTCTTATGTTTGTAATATATTTTGTCTGAATTGCAGTCCTGAGGGATTTTAAGTGAATAAATGCTGTGATATTTATCATTATATCAATTCCGTTACAAAACAAATTTCGTGGAAGCTGCTTTGTTAATGCAATAATAGTGCTATGTATTTTAAGGAATGGCCTATATGGAAATTGTTGGTATTTCTTTAAAATTTAACTGGTTGGTTTTTGTTTTCCAGGAATGATCACTGCAGTTGGACTTTCCAACCTTCAGTTTGTAGAAATGAATTCAGCACGCAATCTCTTTGTCTTGGGATTCTCCATGTTTTTTGGTTTAACATTACCGAATTACTTGGATGAAAACCCTACTATTATTAACACTGGTAAGCTAAATAATGCACATAAATAGGTTACAGTAAAATTGTCGGAGTAAAATTGTAGGAGAGAAGACTGAAAGTGTTGCACTAATAAATAAAGGCATAGCATTCCTTAGTAACAAATAGCACAAGTTGTACAGTCTGAGAAATCACCTACTTTTCAAAAGCCGCCACAAAGTCTTCTACCTCACCTGAGATAGCAAATAGATCTTTGACTTAATGCCATTAACCTGAACGCGGAATTTCTGATTATTAAGCACTCCCTTGGTACTACACTGATGATAAAAATATCTTATTGTTAGGGATATACCTGGGACCTAAGTGGTGACATTGGATCTCTAATGGCTAAAAGACATAGGATCAGAATTAGGCCATTTGGGCCATTGAGTCTACTTCACCATTTGATCATAGCTGATAAGTTTATCGTACTGATACTCCTGCTTTCTCCCTGTATTCATTGATCCTCTTATTAATCCAAAAACCTATCCATCTCTGTCTTAAATGATGTTTGAAGATGGCTTATTTTGAAATCATATCTTAAAAAAGTGATTGCAGAGAACCCTCTGCCTTTATGAGTAGTATCATTAGGTTATCTTTTTTATTTTGTTGGAATAAGATTCCATACCATCTGTTAGTGGAATGCTGTTTCTTTCTTTGTAAATATGTGACCTGAAGTGTATTGATTGCTATGAATGTCACAGTATTATTTAAAACTTGCAATATTGATACAGGCAATTTAGCACAATAAGTCAACCCTGATTTTTGTTTAGAATTTAAATGCTAAGCCTCTATTAAATCTAGGCTAGATCTTCTAGTTGTTTGTTGTAGTTGTTCTACTCTGCTATTTGTACTCCCACTGCTAACAACAATGTAACCCAGGTTAGCAAAATATCTCTTGGGGGATGCTGATGTCTTCTATCAGTGTAATATAGTTACCTAGTTATGCTCAACTGCAACTCTTACTACTAGATAAGATTTTACTTATTATTGTCAGACGTAACTAGGTACAGTGAAAAGTTTTGTTTTGTCTGCAGTACAGGCAGATCATACCATACAAAGTGCATAAGAGTAATAGAACAGAGAGGGGAATATAATGTTACAGTTGCAGAGAAGGTGTACAAAATTTGAGATCAACATTACATTTAAAATTTGAGAGGCCCATTCAGAAGTCTAGTAACAATGGGGAAGAAGCTGTTGTTGAATCTGTATTTTGTTTTAGCTTTTGTTATTCAAAAAGAGCCTCTTCTGTCAAGACTTTGTGTGTTCACCCTTTGCCTTCACTAGTCGAGGTAATTATTCATATTAGTGAAGGATTGGTGGTAGCATATAAGTTCCTGGCAGAACCATATGTCAGCTATAGCCATCTCTTGCAACAATACCATAAATTTGTGGTTATACAGATCAGGAAATTGTTGATAGACTGGGGGCCTCATTTTGTGAAAAGAGGAGGAATACCCTCATGTGAGAAATAACCTATTAGAGGTCATTAAACTAATCCCAGGTTTTGGTAGTGTGGATCCAGAGAAATTGTTTCCTCCCATAGAGAAGGACATAAACAAGAGGTTATAACATAGTCACCAAGAAATCAAATACAGAATTCAGAAGAAGCGTCTTTACCAACTGAATTGTAAGAGTATGAAATTGGCTACCACATGGAATGATTGAACTAAATAGCTTAGTGCATTTAAAGGAGAATGGAATAAGTGATTTAAAACTTCTCAAACTTTGAGAACTTTGAGAAAAGATGGGTCGAGACTTGAGTAGAGCACAAATCCATCTTGTCGGGCTGAATGGCCTGATTCTGTGTCATATATCCAATATACTGTTTCACATAAACAAAATCTCTTCAGTTGTATCTACTTTATATTCTTAAGCACAGCTTTTAACTTCAGAATTAAGATTTTATGGGGTAGTAAAATGGTCAATACATCCTGCCATATTTTCCTTTCATTGAAAATCTATCAGTTATGTAAGTAAGCAGCTGAAAGTTAAGTTTATCAGATTGTTGGTATGGATTGTAAAGGATACATTACATCCAGCTAATCTAGTTGCCTTTCTTAAGAACTGGCATAGTTGATGGGGGAGTAACCTGAAGGCATTCCCCCACTGAGAGATTACCAAAAATGAGCGTGTTCTTGAATTTAAAAAGTTGAGTGATCTAATGTAGTTACTAAAAACAATGTAGGGGATGTAATAAGTAAATTGGAATAAGAGACATAGTTTATTTAGTAGTGACATTGGAAAACACTTTTATTCAAAGTGCTACTGAAATCTAGGATCTCTTCCAACAAAAGTCTGTAGGTTACTAAAACAAAAATTGACAAGATTTTTGGTGTGTATTGGGGGTTAGCAAACCAAGGAGAGTAAAGGGAATTGAGTAACAAACCATTCATGTTCTAATCAAATGGCAAAGATGGTTCAAGGGGTTAAATTGGTTAGTTTTACTTTTCAGTAATTCAAGATTGCAAATGCTTAAAACACGAATACAGCCAAGACTATAAGGGTGCACCATTGTTACTTCTAGCTCTTGTTGGTACAGAGCACTGAGAGACAACTTCTTTTTATTCAGTTTTTTTTTAAAATTGAGAAAAGGAAATGAAAATGCTTGAGGAAGCAAATGGCACCACTGAATCAGAAGATATAACATCTGTTCTTAACACATTTAGGTTTGTAAATTATAATTGAGTCCCTGAAGCCCAGCTGCCTACAGACATACAAGTCAGACAGTAGTTAACTAATTCTCCTCAATCAGGCGTTAAAGAATTATACTGTCGAGGACTATTGCAGAGGAGGTGGCGCTGGACATCTCAAAAAGCATAAAAGTGGATAAATCTCCGGGGCCTAATCAGATGTATCCCAGAACTTTATGGGAAGCTAGGAAAGTGATTGCTGGGCCCCTTGCTGAGATATTTGAATCAATAGCCATGAGTGAAATACCGGAAGACTGGAGGTTGGTTAATGTGATGCCATCATCTAAGAAAGGTGGTAAGGAAAACAGAGGGAACTGTAGACCGGTGAGCATGACATCAGCGATGGGTACGTTGTTACAGGGGATTCTGAGAGCAGGATGTAAATGTATTTGGAAAGGCAAGGACTGATTAGGGATAGTCAACATGTCTTTGTGCGTGGGAAATTGTGCCTCACTAATTTGACAGATTTTTTTAAAGATGTGACAAAGAAGATTGATGAAGGCAGAGCAGTGGATATTGTCTATATGGACTTCAGGAAGGTGTTCAACAAGATTTTGCATGGTAGACTAGTTAGCAAGGTGAGATCACATGGAATCCAGGGGATCTAGCAATTTAATTACAACATTGGCTTGAAGGAAGGAGACAGAAGGTGGTGGTGGAGGGTTGCTTTTTGGACTGGAGGCCTGTGACCGGTGGTGTGCCACAAGCATTGGTGCTGGGTCCACTGCTTTTTGTCATTTATATAAATGATTAGAATGTGAATACAGGGAGTTGCGGTTAGTAAGTCTGCAAATGATGACAAAATTCGTATTGTAGTGGGCAGTGAATAGGGTTATCTCAGAGCACAACAGGACCTTGAACAGATGTGCTGATAGGCTGATGAGTGGCAGATGGAGCTTAATTTAGATAAATGTGAGGTGTTGCATTTTGGTAAGGCATATCATGGCAGGACGTACACATTTAATGGTGGGGTCTGGGGGAGTGATTCTGAACAAAAAGGCCTTGGATACAGGTTCACAGTTCCTTGAAAGTGGGGTCGCAGGTAGACAGGGTGGTGAAGAAGGTGTTTGGCATGCATGCCTTTTATTGGTCAGTGCATTGAGTACAGGAGTTGAAATGTCGTGTTGCGGCAGTACAGGACATTGTTAAGCCACCTTTGGAATATTGCTGGTCTCCCTGCTTTGGGAAAGATGTTTTTAAACTTCAAAACATTCAGAAAAGATTTACAAGGATGTTGCTGGGGTTGGAGTGTTTGAGCTATAAGGAAAAGCATGGATAAACTGGGATTATTTTCCCTGGAGCGTCAGAGGCTGAGGGGTGACCTTATAGAGGTTTATAAAATAGTGAGGGGCATGGATAGGGTGAATAGACAAGGTTGTTTTCCCAGGGTAAGGGAGTCCAAAACTAAAGGGCATAAGTTTAAGGTGAGAGGGAAAGGATTTAAAAGGAATCTGAGGGGCAACTTTTTCATGCTGAGTGAGGTGTATGGAATGAGCTGCCAGAGGAAATGGTGGAAGCTGGTACAATTACAACATTTAAAAGGCATCTGAATGGGTACATGAGTAGGAAGAGTTTAGAGGAATATTGGTCAAATGCTTTCAAATGTGACTAAATTAATTTAGGATATCTGGTCGGTATGGACGAGTTGGACTGAAGGGTCTGTTTCCATGCTGTACAGCTCTATGACTCTATAGGATTTAATGTTGTGATTTTAGGCAGCTCGATAAGGCTCACTAACAGAGGCTTAACAAGTGGTCAACTGTATATCTTCCTCATGGGGAAATGGCCTGTTGGGGGGACAAAACGGGAGTGAAAGGGAATTAGAAATGGAAATGAATTAACAGTACAAAAAACCTTTTATTTTTCAATCTTTGATCGAAAACATTAAATTTTGACAATATTTGTATTAAAAACTTACATGATTATTTGAATGCTTGCATTATGCAAGCCTTCTCTGTCTCAATCATATTTTAATTTCTTGTAAGGAATTTATTTGTTGGCACTGGTTTTATGATTTGTAAAGCTATTAAGTATTTGTTCTCAGGAATAATATCACAGCCTCGAGTCACAATCATGACTGGTGATTAATTTAGTCCACAAGGGACCATTGGCAATTCGATATATGAGAAAGAAATAGAGCTGATTATCTAGTTGGAGGGGTACCACACTGCACATCAAAAAGAGGCAAAGCAATTAAGCACACTTTGATGATTTACTGCACTGATGCAGGGTTTTAACCTGCACTTTTGGTGTCATTTTGTAACACAGTCCAGTCATCCAGCCAATTGAGCCAACTTGACCACTGAAGTTTTGATGAGCTAGGCGATTAGTGGCCAGAGAGCATGCTTACCATTCTAAGGTTGGAGGACCCCTCTGAAGACTAAGGTTCAAAAAATATAAGAAATGGCCAGCAACCATGACCATGGAGCAACATGGGTGGGTTCAGACATGAAAGTTTCTAACAGTGTTGTTTCTGTTCCCTCCTCCACAGCCCTGGCCTGCATCCTTACCCCATCACTAAACTGGAAGCTTGTTATCTCTCACTAGCTGTGATTTGACCACAATATTACTTTGATCGGTCCCTAGGCAAGGGTCCATAATCCATTACAATTGCAGCAAAATACTGCAAATGGTTATGCTCCAAAGTGAGGGGGGGATGAGCTGAGCTGGCTCTCCTTCTTTACTCAACCCTTCCCTTAGCTGGTCACAAGAAAGTTACTTTAAAAGGGTCCCTTCCTATGTGGAAAACTTTTCCTAGCCCGATATATTATTTCTTTTTAAAGGAGTCAATTTAGGAAGGCTTTCTTGAATCCAAGGACTAGTGAATTTATTAGCTACAATAATATGAGCAAAGAAAATACAATGGACACTTGGACTAGAAATGAGAAGTGAGTCAAAGGAAGAGAAAATGAATTGATCTTTGGCTTGTCTACTCAAAAGTTGCACTGCAATTGCTTTTTCATTGTATCCCAGACTATAGACATAATATGAAAAAAGTATATTTCTAAGTGAAATGCGTGTTTGTGGTTTACCTTCCAGGAATACACCAAGAAAGGGCATTAAAAACCAACTGCAACCCCAGGTCTCTGTCAGTGTACTAAAGCGCTGGTGTGATACATGTTCCTTTATGCCAACGTGTGCTATCAAGGGGCACAGCTGAGAACTTCCATTAGACACCCCTGTGCCCTTATGTGTGCAGAAAAAATAAATCAAGTCTCTCTGAATGCTGAAAACAAATCAGCAAAGCCGTTGTTGAATTAAACTGGACAAACTCTATTCAGCTAATGACTGGACTAAGAATTTTCAAATAGTAACTCAACTACCAAAGTCAGTGGTAAGGTGTGTGATCTCTTTAGGACTGACCTTGACAATTGAGACTTTGTTTGGCAATTTTTAGTTCAGCAGTCAGCTGAAAGAAATTTGTACTGTTTTAGACAGTACACATCAGTATAGAGGAACATGAACTACACCAGCTCTTTAGTACACAAACACAGGAACCAGGGTTGCAGTTGGCATATTGTATATTCCTGGAGGGATAAAACACAAACACATCTTTCACTTTAAAAACTTAGTTCTTGCATATTATATCTGTAGTCTGGGACACATGAAAAGAAGATTGCAGTATAGTTTTTGAGTTACATTTTTCCCATTTGGAATATTACTGTCTTGAGTTCTCTTGACACTTTTCAGGTGCCACATTCCATTGTTCCTTCTTTAGACTCTAAAATCCCTGTGTGGATTATACAGGCAGCCATTAAATTTATAACCTCAGCTTTTTTTTTTCTGTTTATGTCTGTCCTTTTTTTAAAAAAAAACTTATTCTTCCTAACTCCAAAACAAATACATTTAGCTTTTTGATCCATTATCATGACAGTGTGTGTTTCCAGTTGGTAAATAGGAGGGGTCTTGATAGACTCCATTTAAATACCTCATTGGCTGCTTGCTCCTTGCAGGTTGACGTTCTGCGTCTGCAAATTTCTGAGACTGTGCTGCTACACCAGCAAACAGTTTGAATTTCCAGCGCTCAATGACTTCAAACATGCTGCACTGGCTTCCAAAAAAAGTCCTGCTGGTAGTCTCTAGGAACTTGACTTGCAAGCAAAAATAAACAAAGTTCTAGGAGCAACATACAGACAGTATACTAAATGACACTTTCTCTTTTATCCTTTCTGTATTCCAACTCTTAATTATAGTGCATTATTTTATTTGTGTTATGATTTTATATGATTTGGACATAAATTTTCTTCTGTTTCAGGCAGCCCAGAAATTAATCAAATTTTAACTGTGTTACTGACAACAGAAATGTTTGTGGGAGGTTGCCTTGCTTTCTTCTTGGATAATACCATCCCAGGTATAGTTACTTTCACATCCGACTGAAACCCATTTAACAATTCAAGTATATTTTTATGAAACAAAGCCACTGCTTTTATTTGTTAAATCCCTATGGTTTAAGTTGCCTGGTATTGTTTGTGTTTATGTATGGCTGTTTTTGAGGATCAAAGTGTTGTAAGGTGTTGGTGAGGGAAATGTGAAGGATGATTCCAGGATTTAGAGTTGGGTGTGTATCTTAGTTATGACTTGTGCAGCACAAGCAACGAATGCAGAGTTAGTTTGTGTTCTTATTTTACCATTCCGCATCAAAATATATTTCCCAACTTACCCTCCCAACAAAGATTTTCCAACTGCAAAAGTCTGATAAAAGGAAATTATCCAAACTCTTGTTGCTATGCTATTCAAAAGCTATTTGAGCTTTGTCCTTTCTTCAAATCTGACTCTTTAAAAAAATTCTTCTGCTCGAATTTATTTTAATAAACATGGTTTTAAATTTGAAGGATAAATGCTCCCCTTGACAAATGAACATGTGGAAAAAATGTTTATGCAAGTGTTTTTTCAGCTTTTTTTCTTTCTGAAAGTGATCACTATTAGGGATTATGTCTAATAAGGGAATAAGACTGAGGGCAAGTGCAGTAAGAGATTCCTGACCTGCAATAATCAAAAGATTCCACTGTGATATTTCACTGGCAAAAGATGAATAATGTAGGTTGTAAGTTCAATGGCTGTCCTTTCATTTTACTTTTAGTGGAGGGAGCAGACAGAACAAGCAATTCTTGACCCAGTTCACCTAGACACCTGTTCAGAACTTCTTGAATGTTCATTATTAGAGTACTGTCTGGAAGGAATAGATAATTTAAATTCATGATATTACAATTTAAAATACAAGCCATTTGGCACAGTGAACCAGGATAGACTCTTTAAATGACACACATTTACTTGCATTTCAAATTTTTTTCTTTCTGCTTATCCTTTCCAATGCTCTTGTCTTATCCAACACCAAGAGAACCTATTTCTATTTTTGTTCTACAACTCATTAGATTCACACTGGTTTAAAAACCTTTCTCGTACTGTTGTCAACTTCATGCACAATGTCAGTGTCCTTTTTAGTTTCCTATCTTTCGAGCTCCAATTTGACCAAAACATACACCATTTTCTTTTATTCAGCACCGTCCCTATTACCCATCATTGAGTTGTCCTTCATGTACTAAGTTCCATCTCCTCATTCTCATCTCCAAGTCTATCCATGGCTTTCCCCTACCCTAATTATGCAATCTCCCCTAATCTTTGCTTCTCATATCCTGTACAATGAACTTCTTCATTTAGTTCTCTAATTCTGGCTTTCAGAATATTTCTTCCTCACTTTAAGCATCACTGCCATAGTTTTCACAATCTTGTCCCTATTCTCCCTTTCTGCATCTGATTATTTCTCTCCTTTTTGCTTCACAGAAATCCTTCCCAGCTAGACTTTTGACTATGCATTGTTAATGCATGGACTCTAATATCATAGAATCAGTGTGGAAACAGGCCCTTTGGCCCAACAATTCCACACTGAACCTCAGAGCATCCCACTCAGACCCATCCCCCTATAACCCACTTAATCCACTTAATCCACGCCTCCCTGAACACTATGGGCAATTTAGCATGGCCAATCCACCTAACCTGCACATCTTTGGACTGTGGGAGGAAACCAGAGCACCTGTAGGAAACCCACGCAGAAACAGGGAGAATGTGCAAACTCCACATGGACAGTTGCCTGAGGCTGGAATTGAACCCAGGTCCCTGGCACTGTGAGGCAGCAGTGCTAACCACTGTGCCACCGTGCCACCATGCCACCCCTAAATAATAGTGTAGGAAGTAGCAATTTAACTCAATAGGTCTATTTATATTCCATTCCAAATACTTCCTGCATTATCTGTGTCACCCCTACTCTATTCTCCCTCAAAAATGCATAAAGCCTCTCCTTATATGTATCAGTGTTAACTACTTTAACCCCCTCTGTGGTCTGCAGTTTCACATTCTTGACAGTGTGAAGAGATGTCTTCTGAATTCTTGACTTAACCTTTTAATTTATTTTAGTACCACAGCAGCACCACCCGCTCCTTACCTCCATTCCTGTCCTTGATTCTTCCACAAGTGGCAAAAATTTTTCCACCTTGATATTACTGAATGTCTTCATAATTTAAAGGCCTTAAGTAAGTCTCACCTTGTGCCCCAGCTTGCTTAATATTTCCTGATGGATACATTGACAAGCTAATAGCTGTAATTCAGACCATTTTTTTTTAATGTCTTCTCCATTGCTTCAACATCCTTTCCTAGTATGGAAACCAGAATAGTGGAGCATAATTGTTTAAATTGCAATTGATTTTTGGCAATTCTTATTTATTTGTATGCCAAGACCTCCTTGTTCCACTACTCCTTTCAGATTCCAAATTTCCAGGGAACAACACGTTTCCTGCAACTTTCTACCAAAATGAACCATCCAAAGATTGTCGTATTGAATGTTTTAGACACTTTTTTTGCTTATTCTGCAAATCTTTGTCTGTACTGTGGGGCAGCCCTTTCCCTTTGCTGTGTATATCTGAGTAACAGCATACTTTCCTATTTTCACTCTCTTCCAGTCTTCAAGCCAAACTCCTCTTCCTAGTTTTCTATTTGGTCTCCTGACAAGTGATAGGAATCCTGTTTGTCATCTTCTAAAATAGCATGGGCTGTCTGACTGTCTGCCTGTCTCTCTCTCTCTCTCTTCCCCTCCCTCCTTCATGAAATAACTCCACAGAATCTGGTATCCCATCACCAAGTTGCCCTTTATTTTCGCATGTACTGTCCTTGAACATAATACTGCCTCATTCAGAATCAGGCACCAGATTATCAGTATCTCTGGCACTCACCCTTTTAATGTCAGTGGGGACTCCCTGATTGGACCAGATTAACAGTCCTAATCAGAGAACTCATACTCTATAAGGTCCAGCTGGCTGACCTTGCTACTATCACTATACTTCACAGTCTCTGTTATGAAGTATCTTAGGAGTTATTTAGCACTGAAAACACTAAGTTAAATTGTTTTGTATGTACTGCATTTCTAATGCCTTGTAAAATATTATGTTTCTTAACTAGGTACAAAACAGGAACGTGGACTTGTACAGTGGAAAGAAGGCGCACTTGCAAACAGTGACACAACTGTAGATATGAAAACATATGACTTTCCAATAGGAATGAGTCTACTGAGGAAAGTGCAGTGTTTACGACACATACCTGTTTGTCCAGTTTTTAAGGGGTTTTATGGGAGGAAGAAGAAAAGCGACTTGACTGCACGTGTGAACGAAAATGGTGATCACGTTGTATGCACTAAAGTGTAATGAATATATCAAAATGCCATACAAAACACATTTTAATGTGGTGTTCTAGTAGTGTATTATCTCTGAGCTTTACAGAAGGCTTATTAGCAAGATGTTTTTAGCAGTTGCATCTTGGTTTTTCAGAGAGTAAGTTGAGCAAATAGATACTTTGCTAACATGGTAAAAGAAAACAATCTAATTCTAATGGTGTTAAATGTTTCTTTTCTTAAAAAAAACAACAATTGATAATTTTGTGATTGTGCCAATGATGAAAATAGTAATTGGTTCAAATATCTTTTCTTTGAAGAGCCATTTTTCTCAAATGCTGTTTTGAAGAGAATTGCAGATCTATGAAGGCAGATGGGGTTGGCAGGAAGTAAACACTATACACTCTTTGCGAGTATATTATTTTTCTGTTTAGCAACATATGTTTTTAAACGTTAGTTGGTTTCAACTCTGGGATAATAATGATTTAGAAAGTCAAAACACTGAAGGATTGAAAAGGGTACAATTCAGTTAACAAAGCATGAATATCTCTCTCTCACCTGTTTGAATGAATTATCTTACATGGAAACCATTCTTTAAAAATATGTTGTGATAAAGAAGTGTATGAATTTCTAAACAAAAAAAAATGCATAATTTTAATGGCCAACTCTGGATTTAACAGATCCCTAATTCTGTGTTCAATTATTTACTCTGATCATTTTTAATGAATTAATCATAGCTACATGTATGGAGGCTATTTAAAATAAACTGAATGCAGGACATTTCATATATTTGGTTCTCAAGTTGTATAAATTTCACATGTTTAGCCCATAGATTTAAACCCCTGCCCCCCCTTAAAAAAATGTAATCTGTAGAATTTGTCACCATGGCAATCTGTCTAACAACAAAGGACTGGCAATGCTTTTCTTTTTAACCTTTTTTAAAACCTTTTTCTACACACAAAGAGAACAAAGTGGCTTTGCACTTCAGTTAATAAATAACATTTTATCACTTGCACAAATGCATAATGGATTTGATATGTCCACCTGGTAGGTTTGGGAACATTGCCTCTATTATTTGGCTGCTGATCACTTTCCTCTGGACAGCTGTTTTGACATCATTTCTCATTTTTGTTACTATGTCCTGGGGTCTTTGCTGAATTGGGATGACTGGGGAATCCCTATAAACATGGTCAACAGATCAGGATGCTGGGATTCCCAACACACAAAATCAGAAGTATTATTTTGTAGAAGGAGGCCATTTGACTGATTTAATGTTTGATTCAACTCTCCAAATGAGCGTTATGATTTAATGCATTTCTCTGGCCTTTTCCCCATTCTCTTGCACTTCGTTTCTATTTAGATCATTTCATACCCTCTTCAACACAACTTTACTTGAAATTTGGTGATTATGTGTATTGGATTTGGGTGAAATCTACTGGAGGGAAATTAAAGACTACCTGAGGGAAACTGCAAGACTTTCTACACTGCCTAGCTCGAGACTGTCTCTCTTGTGACTCAAATTTCACAAGAACTGCAAGAGTTTTGTTCACTGTGCAGAACACCGTACAATTTGATTGAACTCTCTGACTTGTATTAAACAGTTTTAGTTGTGTTGTTTGATATTCGATTTGACTTTGTTGATTGCTGTTCTGCATTGTTTCACCCTGTCTGGAGTTGACAAAGACAATCAGTAATTAGGTCTTTGCTGGTGATGAGAGTCTAAAATCAGAATGGAGTAAGTCTGCAATAACTATACATGCTTAGTCCTTCTGCTTTGACTGAATCTGCTCATTGATAAAATAGAAGACTTTTGAATGATATTTAATTATACTGTGTTTTACTATTTTTAAAGTTCCGGTCAGCTTAATATTATGCTAGTAATGTGCAATGGCAGAAACTACAATGCTTTTTTGGGTCTGCACAGGTTTGTCTTCTTTACCTTTCAGTCAGCATTGCACGGTTTCTTCAGCTTTTTGTTTTTACTGTATCTGTCAATACCACTGGCTGGTATTTAAGAGTAGGAAACATTGTTGGGGGGGCGGGGGTCTTAATTAGGCAGGAACAGAAATCTTGTTTTCCCAATGTTGTGGTCAGTTCATGAGATGAGCAACAGGTGTTGCTTGATGTTGGGAACCAGCTCACATTTATTGCATACCATGGAAGTGTATTAAGAGTGTTGATCGAGTGGCAACTGGATAGATTGGTAGAGGCATTGCCATGGAAAATACACCAAAATTCATGACCATTTCTATTTAGAAGAACAAAGGCAATTGATACATGGGAACAGTACTGCCATCTGAAAATTCCCCTTCAAGCCACTCAAGATGATATGTGGAAAATCAGGGAAACTCTGCAGACTAAGAATCTAACTAAAAGAATGAAGATATTTTTCTCACAGTTCCTTTGGTTTCTCACTGATGAGTTCACACTTGAAGAATGATGACAAATCTTTAGACCAGATTTCAGAATCAGATGAGAAACAATTAGGAATCTTGATACTTGAAACTTTATCAGGATTTTTCCAACTATTTCATAGAGATATGTAATGAGTGCTACCTTCAGCTCCACTCAGACTAAGAGAAACCGTTTGGCTTCTAGATGTGAGCTCAAACAAAAAAAAAACACCCAAGACCTTGATCCAAAGACTGTTGCTAGGTGATGGCAGCATAGATCCATGACGGTTTTCCCAGATCTGTTTATTCAACAATTAAAACAATAAAACACCACTCTAATCTCTCTCAAAATATTGCTGCATGCTTCTTTCCAAAGTCACTCTTTTCTTTTTGTGAACAGCAGGTACACCTTATTTTTATTCATGAGTGGGATGTGAGTGTCACTTTTGCCCATCCTTAGTGCCCACCTGACCTGCTCCTCTAGCCACGGTACTGACATGGTTAGTTCAGTTTCTCATCAATGGTAAGCCTCAGCACATTGATAGTGGGGATTCAGTGATGGTAATGCCATTAAATATCAAGGATTGATGCTTAGATTCTCTCTTGGAGATGTTCACTGCCTGGCACTTGCATGGCACGAATGTTAATTGCCACTTGTCAGCACAAACCTGGATTTAATTCAGGTATTTTTGCATTTGGACATGGACTGCAAAATTATCTGAAGAGTTGTGCGTGGTGCTGAACATTGTGCAATCATCAGAGAAAATCCACACTTCTGACGTCATGATGGTGAGAAGATTATCGATGAAACAACTGAAGGTGGTTGAGCCGAGGACATTACCCTGAGGAATTTGTGCAGATTTCCTTGGAATTGGACTGACATCCAAAAACCTCAACCATCTTCCTATGTGCCAGATATTACTCCACCCAGCAGACAGTTTACCCCCGATACCCATTTGATTCCAGTTTTGTTAGGGCTCTTTGATAAAATGTCGCTTTGATGTCGAGGATGATCACACTCACCTAACTTCTAAAATTCAATTCCTTTTGTCCGTGTTTGAACCAAGGCTTTAACAAGATCAGGAGCTGAGTGGGTCTGGCAGAACTCAGTCTGACTAGCAGTGAGCAAGCTATTGCTGAGCAAGTGCCTCTGATTGCACTGTTGATGACAACATTCATCAATTCACTGATGGGATGGGGCAACATTTGGCAAGGTTTGATTTGTTCTGTCTTTTGTGTAGAAGATATAACTGGGCAATTTTCTACACTGTCTAGTAGATGTCTGTAGTTGAACTGAAAAAGCTTGGCTATAGCTGTGACAAGTGCTGGAGCACATGTCTTTAGCTCTATTACCAGAATGTAGCCTGAGCCCATAGATTTTGGAGTGTCCAATGCCTCCAAACATTTCTTGATATCACATTGAGTGAATCAAATTGGCTGAAGAATGGTATCTGTGACACTGGGAATCTCTGGAAGGAGACCTTTTAAAATTTAACTTTAATTTCAAGCAATCTCCTGGGGTTTGTAACCCAGATGTGGCCAAATGTTCATTTTCCAGTTCTCATAGTCCACACATACATGTAGTTTCAAAAACGACTGCCATGCCCTACTGTAAGCCTGTCATCAACAGCTGATGAAGAGGTGGGCTGCAGACAATAACTTCTGCTGTAATTATATCCTGTCCACTGCAGGCACTTACAATTTGTGTTGTGATTACAGGTATGGTTTTTGCTGGCATGTAATGCCAACCCCCTGTCCTGCCATTGAGAATTGTTCACTTCTTAGGTTCACTGCAACTAGCACTTTTATTTATGACAGAATCTGAAAACTAATTGTTACACAAAATTTAATCTGAAGTCTTGTAAAACAACAGCCATGATTCCATTTGATAGACAGAGCCTGCAGAATAAGTAAACTTGGAATTCACTGTAACCATTGGCAATAACACACCATTTCTTATCCCCCTCTGCCTTCAAGTGATTGAAATGGATAACTACGTGGTAAATGTGTATAATGTAGCACCTTCTGAAAGAGCTAATGTTGAATTAGTTCAACCAAATCTAATGACATCATATACATTCTGTGGTGACAGTGAGTTCTACACTGGCCTTCATCAGGAACAGAAGTATTCTGTACAGCTCCTGACAGTCCCAGTAATTGCATCTGATTGGAATCATACAGTACAGAAGAGATCTGCTGGCCCATCATGTCTTGAATGTGGGCATCAATCTCAGTACTCATCATCTGCTAAGGGAGCACTCTACTTTTTGAGCTAATTCCCCCACTAGCAGCATATTTGTATTTATTACCAGCTTGCAACAAACCATTTTCTTTACAGAAGAGATTCATTCTTAGTTAAGACACTAGTATTGTACCCTCTGCCATTTGTCTTTAGAGAGGTCCTAGACAATGTAAGGACCAAAACGGATTGGTGACAGAACAAACTACATAAGACAAACTTTGCACTGAACCACAGTCTGACAGATGTGGTAGGTGTGACAAGATGCCAGCAGTAGCAATCAGGGTAATCACAATAACTTGCCTGTTGAGTTTTTCACATTCCCAACAAGTGTCAATACTTTCTGTAGCCAACTAATTCCAGAAACGTAGCAGTCTGACTTACAATTGGTGTTCATCCATTTTGAGATTGAGTAAAATGTAACTTCCAATAAAATCATTGAACAATTTGCCTTAACTCCACTGAACTAATGAGAACGTGAAAGGTTTAAGTAGGCTTTTCGCAAAGGAAGTGAATAGTGCCTTGAATATCTACAGCTTAAATTCTGTGCGATGCCTGATGAATGGATAATGCTGATGCATACTGCGCATGAGGAGGGTTTGCTCAGTTATCCTCTCCAGGATGCAAATTCCACAATACAGCATTGGCAAAAAGTAGTCACCAGATCCAATGCTGGTTACAGTATATGTAGGAAAAGGATGGGGATCAACCAGACTAAACAATGTGCCATGTAACAAATAAACATTCCAAGGCGTCACACCATATTTATTCTGAAAACTGTCACAACATTACAACCCTTTGTTATGCACCATAATACTTTGGGTGAGTTTTAAACTGCAGTTTATAATTCAAAGCCTTACAACATATTCATCTACCAAGGCCTTTAATGCATGAAATCGTTCTGACCTAGACGTAATTATTTAATGACACTCAAGCTGAACAATAGGTTGGGCATCGACCATCATTTGTGTCCCCATGTCCCTTTGGAAATGAAACATTGCAGTGACACTGCGCAGTCATATCCTGTTATTCAGTCTTTATAGGAAATTAATGTGCTAGCTATGCTGACCAATACTTCAAACACTCATTTGATACACAAAGGAACAGCATGGATTGGCCATGCTCAATTGCCCGTAGTGTCCAGGGGTGTGTACGTTAGATGGATAAGCCATGGGAAATGCAGAGATACAGGGAAGGGGTAGGGGGATGAATCTGGGTGGGATGCTTTTCGGAGAGGCAGTGTGGACTTGTTGAACTGATTGGCTAGTTTCCACGCTGTAGGGATTCTATGAATCTGTGATCAGACAATATTTCTGTGATATTTAAAAATGTACTCCATTTGCTGTAGGTGAAAGCAGTGATGTCCTTGTCAATTACTGACTGTTCTGCTAATTAATGTTACCTGCCTGCTGTAGTCCTTCTTATTACTGGGAAAGCTAGTTCTCTGCCATCTCTGAGTAAGCTGAAGCAATTACTGGGACATAAATGTATTGAGATCTGCAGACATAAAGCAAAGATTTCCTAGGTTCCAGCTCTGATGGACTAGATTGCCATAGTGTAGACGGATTGGTATATAAAAGAATCAGCATGATTTTCCTCCATTAATTTTAAAGAAAAGTAATGAGGTGGATTTCTTTACAAATGTATATTACGGTTGGTTGGATTTTTAGATGTTCACTGTGCTCTCCTGATTGTTGCACCCAGCGCAAGGAAGACATCCCCTGGGGCTTGGTAACTGCTGATTTTCTTTCTTTTTCTTTCTGCAAGTGTAAAATTCTGTAGCTGAAGTTCTTTAAATACAAATTCCAACTTTTGCACCTCATGCATTATTGGTTCTGCGTAGGTTGCCATATTTTCAAGCTGTTATAGCTTTGAGCTCTGATATTTTTAAATATATTTCTCCCTATAGTCCTCTGTCGCTTTATTTCTCTTCTGCCATGAGACCTCCCCCTAAGACCTATCTTTTCCCAAGCTTGATTGACTGACTGCATTT